AAAACATTTGAACTTTTGCTTGAATATCTTATATTTCGGAAAACAGTATAAACTGTACGGTCTAAATTTAGTTTGCACGGTCTAAATTTAGTTTGCACGAAAGTTGTAAACAACACCATATAAGGATAGGCATTCCATATTTGGAAAAACAACGTTACGGGGAAGATATTCAAATTCATTAATCATCGATGCAGGCTCTCAATTCAGCTTGAGAGCCTGTTCGCAGGCTAAGCTTGACATAGCTTAGCTAACATGAGAGAATTGCGGTTACGTGGGTTACCTCACAAGTAAGAACCAAACCCTAACCCTAAATTGAGTTATTACATCTCAATTGTATATGGCATTCAGATATTGAAAGTCGAAACGCTTGCTGAAAAATGTCACCAGGAATCAAACGTATCGCGATTTGACCACTTAACTTTGATGCCCGACTGAGACACTTAGTTATAGAAACACTAAAAACACCCAACATGGGATATCCAAACCATACCGATACGACGAGTTCGCAGATTGATTGTGGGACGGTGGAAGCCGACTCAGTCAGAAATGCTTGTTACCATCAGTGAAGGATTAGTATACCTTGCGCTGTTCAAAATGAAGTCGAAGTAATTACTTTTAATTTCAGTTCAACACACAACAACTTATAAGTCTACCTGACATTTTCTGATATACCTTATATTTTCTTTAGCAAATGTCAGCAACCTACTGGCCTTCTGAGAAATCCGCCAAATATCATTTCTACATTGTTGACCCAGTTTCGGTAGAGGAAACACCCAATTTTACCTTAAGACAGTTTAAAGTCAGTGACATGATGGTAAGTTTATTCTAGTTTTGGATAAAGGTATAAAGCAATATTGATTGAGCTCGACCTTCGATTTTGCCCAATATATAGGCTTTCGCATAACATCACAACGAGTAACTGGATGGCGTGGACTGTGGAGAACAGTGCGACCAATCACTGAATGTTGACTATTGTTATGCTAAATATTATACAAAGAACTATCGAATGTCAACCTAACATCTTGCAATATGGTGTAAAGAGGAATACAATAATTGGCTAAGTTAAATAACGTTTTTATATTCTCTATAAATATAGAGTTCATGTCCAAGCCTAATAAAGTTATTCCAACTACGGAAATGGCCAGACCGCGGGAAACCACAGAGTTATAAAGCAATCCTAGATCTCATTGGTCAGGTTCATATAGCACGAAATAATGATGAGACCAAAGGACCTGTTGTTGTACACTGCGGGTGAGATACACAAGTTGTTTTTATCTGTAAGGGGCATAAGGATGGAAGGTCTATGGTGCAACAGTTGCGCTGACCTGACTTTAAACAAAATCGTAAAGGCTCAGTGTACATGTTGAGCGATGTGATTTAAGGCTAAATAACATGTAAGTTCTTTTGATTTTCTACATGCACAAGCCTTTTCAAACTGGACCATGTGCGCATGCTAAGCAGTAAATTTTAGCAATTAAATAACATCGCTCAACAGGTGACACTGAGCCTTTCATAGTGAGCTTAAGCAAGTGACGTTTTTGACAACACGGACGTCGACCGGAAGTAAAGTTGACGTTTTTCACCAATCCCAGCCCTTGACCCAGTCTTCTGACGTTACTCATGCCGTTCGTGTTGTCAAAAACGTCACTTGCTTGAGCTCACTAACTATACATGATTGGTACAACGTTAAAATCTTTGGTTATTTTAATCTTTCTTTTGCAGTTCTGGTTCGGGTCGCACTGGCGTATTTTGTGCTCTCAGCATTGTCGTAGAGCGCATGCGTGCGGCAGGTGTTGTGGATTTACTGCAGACTGTGAGACAACTTCGTGAACAACGACATCAGATGGTGGAAACGTTGGAAGAATACGCATTTTGTTACGAAGCAGCTTTACAGTATTTGTCCTCGTTTGATCATATTACTGCATAATGTGGCTAAATATGGGAAGATACCTTTTGATCACAGCTATTTTGCTGAAATACATATGGACAGGTGGTTTTTGGTGAAAATACAAACATCAAGATACTGTATATATGTCATTCGTTAATTATTGCATCTTAAACTTTCTACGATTTCACATACAAACATGCACACATACGCTAAACTCGATCAGTGGATAATGACATTCCAATAAATGGACAGTACACCAGAAATACGTATACGCTTTTAATGTTGCGTTAATTAATTAGTTCTTAGTGTGTCACGTAGTGTGCCTATGGCTGTAGACTTACGTTTCCTACTGTTGTAGTTCTTCCAAAGAAATGCAATATCGTTGTTGTTGTTGTTAACTATAGTTACTACCACTAGTTATGGAAAGCTTAAGCATGGAGCGCGACAGCGAGTTTTAAGAGTGGTTTAATTTAAAATATCAATAATTCATGAAGAAAATTCAAAAGAAATGAACGTTTAATCAATGTCTGTAAATTGGATAAGGATTTGTCCTGATTTACATAAAATTCAGCTTTGATTTTCTCGGCTTAGACAATGTTTATTTTTAAAATTACTTCGCCAATGAACTCATAAGATGGGTTGTTTTTTAAGTTTACAGTTGTACATGTAATAATATCAGATAAAGATCGGCTGCTCATGTTTTAACTAGTACTTAAATTGAATTAAACCACGCTTAAAACAAAACAATGAAATTTAGTACAGAAAGTGAATAACAAGTACCACGACTTGGGCCACCATGCCAGCATATATAGTAGAGAGTTTGTTTCAATCCTCTTCTTAAAGACCGGGGGCCGGTTGTTCAAAGCTGTATTAGTGCTAACCCTGGGTTAAAATTTAACCTGCTGTTTTAGTTTCTGTATTTCTACACATCTGTTTATTTCAAAACTTCAGAGAAGAGAACTCTCACGGATCCACGCAAGAATTATGAACTAGGGTAAAGCTGATCGGCTTTTGAACAACTGGCCCCGGTTGCTTAAGCTTCTACAGGAATATAGAAATCATCCTATTGTTGTTAAGCACTTCGATAGAAATCATCCTATTGTTGTTAAGCACAGGATTTTATGCGCCTGGTAATTAAAAATTCAATTCAATTGTGTTTACGCACTCTTGTGTTCAGTATAGTGCTCAGGCATTCAAATTATAACAATAGGATAATTTCTATAGAGGGTACTTTTTGGGAGGACACGCTGTATAGTTATCAGTAAATCTGTATTTTAAGATGCTTGTGATGTTACTCTGAGTGTATTATACCCATACTGGACAGGCTTGAAAAATATGCCCGGCCCCAGTGGAAAACGAACCCACGACCTTTGAAAGCTTTTTCAAGCTTGCCCGGTGTGGATACACATTCAGAGTAACATCACAAGCATCTTATTCACCTGAGAACATTACACCAACACAGAAAATATAAATCTGTATTTGTATCATTTTGATAAAAATACGACTGTTAAACCTTTGGGTTATATAATGCTGACATAATTTTCTTTTCTTTTACTGTACAGTTGTACATATAGTAAGTTTTAAATTATTGCTTGTTCAAACAGTTCATTAAATTGCTTTATTAAATAATACGAAATAACATAATATGGACATTATCATTACTACGGTAAAATACATTATATCTAAATTTATATTTTTCTTTCTATATATTTCTCAATGTCTTTTCAGTTTCCATTTTAAAATAAATACATTGCATGACATTACATGGTTGAGAGGAGTACAATTATTTAATTGTACGAGTGGGGCAAATGTGAGCAAAAATACTCTTCACAATTTCAGGAGATTTATGAAATTTCTGTACTCTTTCATTTCCAAGTATTTATATGCAGAATTAATACTTTCAAGTAAAAGAAAAGTCAGTAAAGTTCGTTTTCAAAGGCATGGGGGAGAAAAACGTTTAGGCTGCGCTGCGACCCGAGCTATACATTACCGTAAATAATCTAATAAACGCCCGGGACGTTTTTTTAAAGAGGAGAGTTTTGGGCGTCTATTATAACAGGCAAGCGCAAATCCTTACGGCAGTTCAAGCAACAAAAGTCAACTTTCATGGCTGTTGCTTCGATGCTCGTAACAGTTAACACATTTAATATTTATATACAACCCGTGGTGTTTGAAAATTGTTGCCGCAAATTGCACTTGCTTGGGCAATTTTGGCAAAATGTTCAAACATCACTCGCACTGTTAATTATTCGTCGTACCAGCAACATCACATGATTACCTACACTCCTATTGTATTGTTTTAGGCTTTACTTTCAATACAGGACCGGTAATGATTTAATAAATGTCCACTCTCTAATAAACGTCTCGCAGCGCAGGTTAAACGTAATGCAGTGTTTTTTTGTCGAAGGTGTGCCTTCAATAGCTAGACGTAACACCAGGGTTCCCAATCGACGTTTAGCCTAGACAATCGCCGGTTATTCCCAGCTTACCGCAGAAATGTCAAGGGAAAGTTTCTTGCTTTTCTAACATAAATTTAACACAACAGTCTTTGTTAAATATTTGGATAGAATGACAAAATCAGTAAAAACTTTAATGGCTGGAAATACATTTCAAGGGGGTTTAAATCTCAGAATATTCACAGAGGGACACTTTTGGATGGCACCACATAACCGCCTGCGTCTTTCCAAAAGCCTCCAACTCCAAATTCTATTGGGAACCCTGAACACCTACTGTACGGTACGTATCTTAGGGGCGGACCATTAGAAAAGTGATGGGGGAGGGGGGGGGGAGCAAAAATAAAAATCGCGCAGGGGAAACAAAGAAAAAAATTCGTGCACCAAAAACGTTTGAAAAAAAATTCGTGCAAAGACTTCAATAGGGAAAATTATAAGTTGAAATAAAAAAAAATTCGTGCAAAGGATTATATTATATAGATTATATAAAAAAAATATTCGTACAAGTTGAAAAAGTCCCAACCTTCACCCCGTCACTTTTCTAACGGTCTGCCCCTTAGGTTTCAGTTAATAGCTTAGCAAATGGGAACGTGGATTTTACTGTGTTTCGCTGAACTACATAATACTATATGCCTGAGTGAGCTTCTGCTAGCTAAATCAACACCACAGTTATATAAACTTTCCATTCATGCGCTTTTAAATTCCAACATCTCTCCGTTCACCCTGGCTGCCACATGTTGCTCCAGGCTCGCAAGAATAACACATAGTATTAAAGCCTTATAAATTGCGGGCGTGGAAAAACCCCTGGCACTCAGGGTGCTCTCCGCTGAGGTTTTGAGAGAATATTTCAATTGTCTCTGTCTTGAATTTAATTATAATTCATTGACCATTCGTAACAGAACAGTATGTTTTTTTGTTTTTTCAACTCCATACATTGGATATCAAAATATCTGATTTGTACATGGCGAACAGTAAGTATAGAGATACATACATGTACTGTATTCCAGAAGGTCTGAACAGCATCAGTCATCTCATATTTCTTCTACAAAAAGTGTTTCTTGCGGATACAGTCCAAGTGATTGTAAGCTCTGTCTTGGATCCATACTGGATAACTGGAAAATAATTATCACGGTACTAAGCATTGTTAGGAAACCAAAATATTCCCAAAGTTTTTTCAGTCTGGTTAAGTATATTTTCAGTCAGTATATACAGCTAATTCGATTAAGGTTAAAGAACACCTTTGAGTGTTAATTTTGCCTAAAATTTTTTTATTGGTTTCCATGAGAGCATTAGACTAGTTCTACTATCAGCAAGTTTATACATGCCCATAGGCATTATAAACTTAAGTTAATGAAACAAGCGTTCGGATATAACCAAAGTTGTGCAAAGTCCTTTGATTAGACCAGGTTAGGCACAAAGGTCAGTCTTAAAACGCGTGATCACTCACGTGCAAAGCACTCGGTAAATAACAATGAACCACTGTCAAACACTTCTTCCCATGCATGCGGGAAAATAGACCAATCAGGTCCTACTGTTTTATTTGCTTATGCTTCCTGCCTGGGCTACAGGCTTCATTGTGTCGCCGGTGAGCCAAAGTGAAGGACACTTCACAGCGAAAAAATTGCTTAAATTCCACCCACCCCACGCGTCAATGATGTTGCACCACTTTATCATAGCTTAGTAAAAAAAATATATATATGGGGACCCAGACCCCCGAGGGCATTAATTAGAGTAACTGTGAGTCTGTGGGGTGACACTTTGACCAGTTGAAAGTATATATTCGGAGCATTTCTCCCCAACAACCCTTCTCCCACAACATTGCGTGCGCTTTACTGTCTCATATATAGCTCTCTTAAATATTAACTAACCGAATTGAGGCATTAATGACCAAGTTTGGACGAAAAATGTTGAAAACTCGCAGAGTTATTTAACAAAATACATTTCGCTTGCAATAAGAAAAACAATGAAAATGTAATATTCAAATTCAATTTTCGCGCGAAGAATTTTACGGCAATTACTGATTTTTAAACGAGTTGTGCCCCTGCGGGTTTTAACGAATTTTTCTCACATTTTCACAGGACATAGCTATAAAGACGTCAGTTTCAAAATTGCCGAACGGCTTTGTTTTAATTTTGGATATTTTAATAATAAGGAGCAATTCACACAAACGATTCAGAAATATATTGCAGTCGTCAAAGAAATCGCCATATCAGCGGAATGACGAAATAAACAAAAATTTCCGAACACAATTTTACAACTTTATCATATTTTGCATGCACTGGCTAATATTTGGTGAAAATTTGATGAAAATCGGACTGATTTTGAGCGCGCAGTAGCGATTTTCCACAAAAGTGTCCTGTAAGGTGTCCTGTAACCTTAAGGTTGTCCTTCCAAAAACTTAAACCTTAAACTCTGAGCGCGCAAGGGATGATGGGTTATTGAAATTTGGCTTTGCAAGAATGCTTAAGACATTTAGAAGACTCACGACAGAAAACATACTTGCTGCAAAGGCAATTTTCTGAGTTTAAGGGCCTAATAGGTGAAAACCCATCATCCCTTGCGCGCTCAGAGTTTAAGGTTTTGGAATGATAACCTTAATTGAATCAGCTGTATAACTTAAAAAGGAGAAAATCATTTCTTAATTTGGGCTGAGAAATTCTTGTCATTAACTCGAAAGAAGCTTGTCTGAAGGACATTTTATGCAAGTATATTAAAAATATATTGCAAACAACTTCGTACCCAAGGTAGTTTCCGTATGAAAATATAACATGGTTATTTATAGACACGTGACTGCCCAGATTTTGTTTCTAAGGAAGGAGCAATATAGGCCATTTTGTACATATCAAAGTTTGTAATGTATTGTACAGTAATTCAGCACTCTTCATGAGCACAGCCATTGACAACAAACACGTAACAACAAATCACCACGATACTTCCTCACATAAGGAATTAGAGAAATCTTGAGAAATGAACAATTACCTGTTTTCTGGGAAAATTTGTAACGACTGCGTATTGGTCTTCTAAATAACCTTTTGATTGAACAAATATGAGAACAACCTGCAATAAAGAAATGAGCACATATTTAATGCACTGAATAATCTAGTACCATTATGTAATGATTCCGTGTATGGACCTTTCCCCTTATAACTAAAATTTTGATTTAGACAAAAATTTCATCACAGCTTGAAAGAGCATCACAAAATTAGTAATATTCCAAAGTTTCGTTGCGAAATGTTGTAAAATGCGGATAATATAGCCTTGCGAAATTTGCCGTTTTTCAGTCACTTTGTATTACGCATGGGAAATTGACAGCACAATCGGGTGTTGGGGCAACAATTTCCCGTTTGTAATACAAAATGACTGAAAATTGCAAATTTCGCAGGGCTATATTATCCGTATTTTACAACATTTCGCAACGAAACTTCGGAATATTACTAATTTTGTGATATTCTTTCAAGCTGTGATGAAATTTTTGTCTAGACTTGTCTACAGGGTGTATCAAAATAAACGCAATTCATCTTTTGTGCTTAACAACTTTCGAAATACTATTTCTAGTTAAACGCTTTTAGGCTTACTTCAAAGCATGTTCTTTTCTCTTTCAAACAAACTATTATCCTTGTCTCCAATGCTAGTAATAATTGCACAGGAAAAGATTTTAGTAAAACCTATCATTTTTAGTTGCTGTTTAATTATGCAAGTTTACTATATGTTATTGTTTAGTCGGTTTAAATGTTAGAATTTTCTTCTTTAAACTTTAATGTTGTCGTCACTACATCTGGAAAACCACGTAAGAACAAATTAAAAGTATTTTAAAAGAGACCAGGTTGTTTGAAAATCTAAACGAATGCTAAAATCGTCAAAACATTCTGGTGTCTGAGCCAGAGTGTCATCGAATTGCGATGTAATGTAAACAGAAATTATAGCAAGTTGATGTCAGTCAGCTTAGATGGTCCAAGCCAAAATTATATCGCATTTGAAGTTTCAAACTGAGTTAAAAATAGTGGAAGAAAAGCCGTAATTATACTTATTGTTACAATCCATTTAATAAAGTGCAACATTTTTTTGTTTTAATGAAAAAACAGTTATTTTCATGAGAACGATTTGTTATTCCATCTCAATTTTTTTAATCTCCAATCGCAATAACGTAAAGTATTATTACCCGCGAACCAATGAGTCAAATTTAAGAAACAACCCACTGTTAGAAAGCTGAATGGCTACGCTTTAAAGTGAATGTAAACTTTAACGTTTTCGTCTATTACTTGTTTAGCAATTTACATTTCAGTCGAGGATTGCGCTTTTTTTGATACACCCTGTAGATCAAAATTTTAGTTATAAGGGGAACATAGACGGATTTTCTGGGGGTGCGGGGGTGCTACCCCAATATTAGCTATAACCCCCACCCCCCCAAACAAAATGTCCACCCCTCCAAAAAAATTGTCAAACCCCCCCCCAATATTTGGCATAATAAATCAATAATTAAATAGTCCACTCCAACGTGCAGAGTGTTGATGATACAAAATAAACGCGTAGGAGTACACTCAAACAGAAAAAGTGCAACATTCTGAAACTAATTGCTCCTCGCTTGCATTCACTGGTTTATTGGAGCAATTGTAAAGTTTTTAAACTCCATTATCTCCCCTGAATAGAGTTTATACAGTGCCTTGTCATGCGAATAGCTTACACTCAAGGAACGTTTGGAATTTTTACGAACATTATTTTTAGTTTTTAATTCTTTTAGGAAATAGACTTGCCTAGATTTAATCTTCACGCCCCAAATATTATTTACATCGGAGTTGCATCATAAATTGTACTCGAATTCAAGCAACACAATGTCAATGACTTTATAAAAGTAAAAGCATATTTTCTATTGGCCTATTGGGTTTACACTTTTACAGGTTCATTAATTTAACTTTAAGTCTTTAACTCTCTCAAGTCTCAACAGACAATCGGACATGCCAAATCCATTGATATGACAAATTGACAACTTCAAAAAACTTTTTTTCGAAGGTAGAAATCATGATTTTTTTCAAATTTTTCCCGGGATACTTTGTTTTCTGCTCTTTAGACTCCCCCTTGCGGCTCTAGTGCTCCACCCCTAGAATATAGACCTTACTGGGGTTTGGTGTCACACTTTCTATTGCCTCAGTCACCTGCTCACGGTTCACCCCCCTAAAATGTCTGGCACCACCCCAGTTAAAAATATGAAAATCCGTCTATGAAGGGGAAAGGTCCAATGCAGGTTGTATTCAGTGCCTATGGGGTCTTGTCAGTAAGTAAATGTAATTATAAAATAACCACAGTGAAACACGCAATTTGATTGGTCAATACCCGGGCAGGATTAAAGTTAATAAAGTTATCGTTTAAATAACGTTTAAATAAAGTTAACGTTTTAAGTATAGGTAATAGCATGGTTTCGAGTGCAATTTCGATATATTTCACAAGAAACCATGCTATTAATTATTAATAATTAACATAAAAGTATTCGAGTCAATCAAATTTGAACTTGACAAAGCGTTTCGGCACCGCTAAATGCGGCCATGTTTGTTTTGAAAAAAGAATATTTTGAAATCCCATTCATGCAGATTCCGATGCTTCAGAATTTTCTGATGCGAGAAGGCAATTTAAGAACTGGGAACGCGTTCCCAAGTTTTCTCTGCATGGACTGCGTTTGCAACGCATTGTACAACGCGTCTGAAACGCATTTCGGTCGCGTTCCGTAAAGTAAATAAAACGCGAACCAAGTGTTATTTCTGAGACGTATTTCGGTCGCGTTCCGAACGTAAAGTAAATAAAACGCAAACCAAATGTTATTTCTGCAGGCATAATCCCATTCAAAATCGATTTAGCATAACTTCCAAGCTTTGAGATGTTTGAATGTTTCACTTCATGCAATACAAGCTCTACTAACGTAAGGACTTCAAAACCTCACCTTCAGCGGATTGCTGGCGAGAAATCGTCTTGTGATTTGTTCACTATCTGGCATGCGAAATCGTAGTATAGAGATTGGTTCTAAACAATCTGGACCTGGTTCCTCTGGTAGTTGATCTTCTAATGAATTGATCTGAGCCTGAAATAACATGAAATATGAGACCATATGAGATCTTGCCTTTAATTATCCCATTAAAGATATAACAATACATATAGCGAATAATACTATCACAGTAAAAAAATAGTTCTAGTAGCTAATAATATGAACTTCCCTTTCTTCATTTTCAGTTCATTTTCTTCCCAGTTCATTTTCATTTTCTTCCCAGTTCATTTTCTTTTTCATTTTCTTGAAGTTCATTTTCTTGACGAAAATGAACTGCCCAGTCATATATTTACATATTTACATGCCTTCATGTTACTACAAGACATCAGTACTCCATTCAAATTGGACAGAGGCTTGCTTTCTCTTATTTATTGCGGGTAAAGTTTATACCTGTTTTGTTTGGGCTTCGAGAAAAGCTTTTTCTTCCGTTTCTTTTTTCATCCTCAAGGCTTCACTTTCCTGTCTTTCTCGTTCTTCTTCCTAAATATTATAAACTAATACATTCTACTATTCCAAAGGAATTACAGTATTGTTTTTATTTGTACTCAAACATGGGGGTTAACGTATGTACATTATTCTATATAACTGTTTTGATTGTAAATAAGAAAACTTGGACGTTTGGTTTTGAACGAAGGCACTTCGTTAGCCTGCATTATAGCAGCCGGGTTTCTGGATGGAGGACTTGCGGGTGGGAAAATAAAGGTGGAAGAACCGGGGGACGGGAGAAAACGGGTGGAAAACGACTGCTACGCAGGCTAGCCCTTCGTTTATTACGACGTTTACTCATTTAATACAACATTTCTCACGACGTTTTCTCGATCCTTTACAGGACGTTAAGACCAAAACAAAGAATACTGACCACGCATGTTTTTCATACACTGAATCACCAGTCAACAATGATTGTTGTCACTGTAAACTATATCTATGATCGCTACATATATCATTACATTGCAGGAAAGAATATTTTCTAAACGAAAGATGTTTTCTGTGGTCTCAAAAGCCCTGCAGCTTAATCACGTGTAACCAAGATAGAATGTCTGACCTTAGCTCTGTCGGCTCTAAGAGATTCTTGGTATGCTTCATCTTGTTCACGTTTCATTGACTCGCGAGCCTCGCGCTCATTCTACAACCAGAAACAAACTTTGTAGTTAAACGTTTTATTTGTTGAAGGGTTTGAATCCAGGTTTATTAATTTATTATTATTTATAAGACTTTCAAATATTTTTGCTGCCTATTTTCAAAGACTTTTCAGAGACCATTGAGAGCAATCAGCTGTTGAAAAATTCCAAGTGTAAGCAACATTTTTACCCAATAATTAGTCCTGTTAAATCACAACCTAAAATGCGCCTTTTCGTCCATATTTGCGAAAATCTTGCTTCAATCAATCTATTTTATTAGCTAGGAAATCGTATAATCAAACACTCACCAAAGAATTTAAAGACTTTTAAAGACTTTCTTCGCTTTTTCACACAATTCAAAGACTTTTCAAAGACCTTAAAGACCTGCATTCAAATTTAAAGACTTTCAAGGATTTCAAAGACCGCTACGAACCCTGGGTAATAAACCGTCAAGTCTTTGATAGTGATTTCCGTAGAGGAAATCGAAACGTTAGACAAAATAAAACATTTTGTAAATATAATCTAGTATTCTAGATGAATAATAATAATAAAAATAAACGTTTGATTTGTGTTAGTCCCATGTACTTGAGTAAGATTGGGATGTTGATTGAATAGTGGCTTGATCATGCAATGCCAGAAGAGTTTCTCTAGGTAATGCACGGCATGTTGTATAATAAGGACTGATAGAATAATATACGTCAGTTACAGATATAGTAATTCATTGAAGGGTTTGAATCCAGGTTGAAACATTATGTTTTATTTGTTCTTCCAGATTAACAAAAAGGTAAAATACTTTAATTTGTCTAACGTTTCGGTTTCCTAAACGGAAACCATTATCAAAGACTATGAATCTATTAAA